GAGGACTTTTCCTTTATTATTTGTATTAAAAAACCTACTTATTATGCAAAATAGAAAACAAAGGAGTGTCACATCCAGAGCCCAGTAATTTTTCAACATCCCAAAGTTAATATTTCAGTCTTTATTGGTTCCTGGCAGAACCCTGAATATCTTTAACATAATTGAAACAAAAAGAAACAATTTTCCCAAGCAACCTAAGTTATTGCCAACAGTGCTAAATACAATTTCTTCCCACCGTAAGTCAAAAAGTTTGTGTTCAACGTTCATTTCTTATTAAACACTGTCAGTTTTACTAGAGTTTGATACACACTGGTGCTTGTCCTCCAATTTTTGACGCCCCAGTTCCTGCAAAGTGTACTCTGCATAATGAGTGAGCAGCAAGTGTTTAGTCTTCCTGCGTATGGGTTTTTACTGCCAAAGCAAACTATCTAGATGGATTCACACAAAGTGATGGGAAGACTGAACAATAATCTGGTGTCTAGGTCTCCATCATTATCCTAGCTCTTCATTCCCTAGTATATTTGGAGAAGGGAAGGGGGGTAGAGGCATTTGGCTTCTTAAAAACAAAAAGGCCTTTATAATGGCAACACAATTCACATTAAACTAAAAAGTGCGAAACCACCACCACCACCACCACCACCTCAGGGCTAAAGGCTAGAGTAGAAGAAATTATCTGTCTTTTAACTGAACTTTCAGATGGAGATGAATCTTAAATTTAAATACAAAGGCTACATTTACCTTGTGGTGGCAGATGCAGATACAACTCACACTTTAAAAATAGAAAGTGTGAATTTATTCAAAGTCACCTATGTTTTGATGGTTGTCAAATTCGGCAAATACGTCAGAAGTATTTTTTTTCCAGTGAAAGTAAAGGATGCCCCAACTGTATCAGTACTTTCTACAGTTTTCCCCAAGGCACTACCATTTATCACAGAATCAGATCCCAGAGGCCCAGGAGGATTTCAGTATTGCACTGACTCCAATCCTTAGCTGCCTCCCCTGCCCCCACCCAGGCATCCTGCCACCCAAAGATGACAACAAAGACCATCTACCTCCTACAGTTTCTTTTTTGCATTTTGGCTCTTAAAAAACAAGTCAATGGGTTAACAATGGTCCTGATATCTGTAGTTAAATAAAAGCTTTAGGTCAATGCATCTGAGGAGTCCATCAACTTTATTTAAATGATAATCTGAGAAAGTTCTAAGATAAGAGGAAGAATTTGTCACTGAGTTTGGACTCAATAAGTTTTAACCTGAAGACTGGAGGTGGGGGTGGGGGAAGGGAGGACAGACTGGAAGGGAAAGTAAATTGACTCCCACATCAATGAATTGCAACCATCAATCTCTCTACTTTTCCCCCAAATTGACTTTTAAATAATAAATTTCCTTCTAAAAAGATTAATCACAGGTAGAACCCTGGCCAATAAAACACAGAGATTTTATTCTGGGAAAGTTAACAGGAACAATCACTTATAATGTTTGAAAAAATCTTCTCAAAGCACAAAGTTCATCTTTGCTGAAAATAATTTTAAAGCCTCTCTTAAAACTTCCCTTCAGAGGCTGGAGCACACTCTTTTGCAAATCCTTAATAGATGGAAGCCTACGGCTTCAGTTAAATATGGTATGTTGGAAAAGAGAAGCAGATAAACTGTTTATTATTAAATATTTACTTGGTACAAAGTACACATCGGCCACCCTAAGGTCTTAAAACCACCTGTTCCCCTTACAGAAATTTTAAGTTAGACTGCTGTTTTACTTCAACCTGCGAACTTTATTTTGGAAAACTCAGGTATAAGGTCGCTCTTGAGGAAAGACCAGAAAGCTGAGGGTTGGGGAAAGGATGAAGGGGAGCAGATAAGGTGTTTTGTTTTTTTCCCCAAGGAACAGCTTGTAGAGAAGGCAGTTGAGTCAGGTCAGGACAGGGAGGGAAGGGTGCTAAAGTATGCACAGGAGGGAAGGACTCACGTTAGTGAGGATTATCCAAAGCATTTAAAAAATCTCAATCACCTAATATACGCAGTATTACTAAAACCAGAGTGAAACCAAGACCAACAACTTTCTTATACAGTTTAATTAGAAGAAAAAACCCACTGAAAACAAGTCCTTCATGGAGTATACATTCTGCAATCAGAAAAGGGGTTGATAAATGGGTAGGAAGATCCCAGAGTGTCATGAAAGCAAAGCATGGATGTCTAGAGTACCCCAACTTTGTTCATTATCTATCAGTATCCTGTTTATTACCTTAAGCACTCTAAAATATCCTGGAAAGCTTTCACAGCTATATAATCCTTCCCAATCCTGTTCTCTCTATAGTCTTTCAAATTCCTTAAGATAATAAATTTACCACTTTACAGAGGCTGATTTTCTTTCATGTTAAATTATCTTGCAATGCTTGCTACTATTAGTTGCAATTCAGTTTCTGTTTATATGCTGGGAATTAATAATGCTTTCAGCAGCATGCCTACTTGTAAATGGGATAAATAGAACACAGAATTGTATCTTACATTCTAGTAAGAGCAAGTGCTACAATAACAGTGCTTTGGCTGATGCAATTTGTTGCTAGGTTTATTAATATTTTGGTATAAAACTGCTGTGGCAACAAGAGGAAGAGGAAGAGGACTGACAAACTATGGCAAACTTTTGTGCGTCTGTGGAGTTGTGACTCATAAAGATAGGAGAGGGCTTGGCATATAAACAGAAGAATATAAAGGACTTCAAGCAAATCAGATCTGGCAGAAAAACAAATATACTGGTTTAGTTGCATATATTTTAAGCAACTGGAAAATACTGCCAACTTGATGTCCATTTCAAAGAAGCATTGCAATTTAATATTTGCTAACTTTGCCACTTCTCCTAACATCTTTGTTTGCTTTTCTTGGGAGCCTGAACTTGTATTCTTGGTTTAGAGAACAAGGGAGTGGGTAGGAAGAGAGAAGGTGATGTTTTATGTAATATTGCAGCTGGAAAGGGAAAGTAGAGATCAAAGTGGTTCAAAAGTCGGTGTTAAAAGAGGAAACTGAGAGCTAAAGGATAATTAAGCTCTGAAGGTTAAGTCCTAGTGGTGGGTGGGGTCAATGCAAATTTAGCAAGTAGTAGAAGTAAATTATTAAGCAGTTTGAAGCAACCTTTGTTCCTGGGCTAGGAATACCAGCAGAGCTCAAATTTTTCTTGTAGAGAGATTTCTAAAAATCATTCTTAGAAGTCAGCTAATATAATAGAACACTGGACCATATTTATTGAGACAAAGGGTCTGGCCCAACATTCTCAGTGCTCATTAGCCAAGCAACCTCCAGCAAGACTTTTACCTTCCCTGGTCCTTTATTCTACATAATTTTAATAGGAAAAAAGGAGCTTTTCTGTCACTTGTAAACACCGTTAAAGATGCATTGTGCGGTTTATTGGGTTAAAAAAAAACAAAGAAAAAAAGCTTTTATTTGCTCAAAGAAAGCCATATGACTGCAGAAGAAGCCAAATCTACAGACATTCAAAAATTTAAACTACAGGATAACTTGGTGACTATCGAATTTTAACCTACTTAACTCCTTTCTTCAAGCACTTTTCCTCAAGTTCAAATCTGGTCCTAGCCAGGACCAGTACACACCCCCAGGGCTATTTCATTCCATTGGCTGGCGGGCGGTCCTGCTGTCTACACCCTTTAGATTTAATGTCAGGACGCCCGGTGTTTGTGAGGTTACATTGTTCACGTATTAACCTTTTTCACGTGTGTGCAAAACTGAAACTGTCAGGGTAGAAAAATAATTTAAATATCAACGTATAAATGAACAAATTCATTTGGTTAGTAACACTGTCTAAATTTCAAACCTAGAAGGCAGATCACTTTGTATGTTACTGTATCATCTGCCACTGCTGTAGAAAGAGTGACAAAAATTTCATGGTTTGCATTCTCCTGAGTCACACAAGCCCACAAAATCTTGCAGAGGCACAATCAGATGGGCCGGTCATTTCCTTTTCTACAAAGGCTCTTCGTCAGGACCCACCCTGTTTGTGACATGCGCTAGGATCAAAAGAGCGGTGCAGTGCCTCTTCTGCATACAGCATCAGCATGCAAAAGCCGGGGAGATGGCTCACGGGGGAAGGAGATGCGACCAACTACATGGTGGTGGCAGGGGTGGAAAAATCACGATTCACCCGCGCCTGACACATCTGAGACTGAGGCCAGGGGTGGGAAGCGTGGGCGGGAGACAGTGCCAGCCCGGCTGGGCTGAGCCGTGGCCCCGGGAGGCAGGAGGCCGGCCTGGGCGGGGCAGGGCCGCGGGGGCTCGGGCGGGCGCTCACCTCCCTTGCAGGGCGTGCGGTGCTGGCTGTGCTGGGCCCGGTAGCCCTCGATGACCTCCCAGGAGCCGTCGTCGCGCCGGATGGGGAAGGACAGGCTCAGCACATGGTTGCAGGGCTTGATGATCCGCAGGATGCCACGCACCCGGTTCCGCTTCTGCTCCTCGCTCTCCCGGGTCCTGAGATCCTCCACCAGCTTGTCCTCCACGATGCTGGCGCCGCGATCGAAGAAGCCCTCCACCATCTTGAAGAAGTTGGGGTCGTCCTCGCGGTCCGCCGCCGCGTCGCTGTAGTGTCGCCGGGTGGGCGGCGCGAGCCCCGGCTGCGGAGCGGCGGC